GTCTCTATGGACTTGTCTCTTTGAGCCTCGTCTCTTTGAACCCATCTCTATGAACTTGTCTCTTTCAACTTGTCTCTTTGAACCAGTCTTTTTAAACCCGTTTCTATGAACTCATCCTTTTGAACTCATCTCTATGAACTCGTTTCTTTGAACTTGTCTCTATGAACTCATTTCTATGAACTCGTCTCCTCTGTTTCAGATCCGGAACACGGCGAAGATCAAGCGGATGAAGAAGAAACATTTCAGGAAAATAGAGAAGCGAGACACACTGGCTCTGCTGCAGAAGTCTCAGAAGCAGAACGTGAAAACCAAAAAAACACAAAAGGACTCGGAGCACGACTTAACCTAAAGGCTACCTGACAATAAAACACACCTGGTCAGTGTTTTTGTCTACTTGTTGATGCCTTTTAACTGATTATCAATGAAAACACTTCCTGGTTGAGGTTTGGATGCTTCCTGGACGTTTCACAGAGCTTTCTAAAAACAACCAACAGGCTTCAGCTAGATGTTTCCTTTTTAAGAAAAAAATAAATATTTGATAGTAAAACATTTACTGGAATAATATAAATAACTGAAGGCAGTCCAGACTCAGATTAAAATAATGATGAACCCTCTGAATAAAACCTTGTTCTGGTTAGATTTGTCCTGACGGAGACTTGCTGTTGGCCTGTTCTCAATCGTTTCACATCAGCTCAGATAATAAAAAACCTGCTCCGAGGCCTTGGATCACATGTTTACGACCTGCCTGAGTTAAAGATGTCAAAATAAATTGTGTTTTTAATCTAAAAGAATGCTAAGAACTATGGACTACAAAACATGGAAAATAAAACCCATTTGAACTGTCTTATTTAACCACAAGGTGGCGATGTTGGACCATCAGATTATTTTATTAGAAGTCTTGGTTTAAACAACAAAGTCCATGCTCAATAATCCAGGTAAACAATCCAACATTTTTCAGTCAGATCATCTGGACAGTTTATTTTTTTGTGCTGAAACGTTTCGCCTTGGATCCAGAAGGCTTCATCAGTCAAGGAAACACAACAAAACTGATTCTTCCCCCAACAGCTTACTCCAAAAGTTTTGTTGGTGCTAAGATGGTCTCTTTGTCACGCCCCTTCCTCCATTGCCGGCCCTCTTCCTTGTTGACAGTGTGTCAGGAAGAGGGCCGGCAATGGAGGAGGAGGTGTGACAAAGAGACCATCTTGGCACCAACAAAACTGGTTTTGTTCCACTTTGGAGTAAGCTGTTGGGGGAAGAATCAGTTTTGTTGTGTGTTTCCTTGACTGATGAAGCCTTCTGGATCCAAGGCAAAACGTTTCAGCACAAAAAAAGAAACTGTCCAGATGACCTGACTGAAAAATGTTGGTCTTGGTTTAAACTTCCACTCAAATGAGTTCAAAATAAAATAGTTTTATAGACAGTGACCACCAGAGGTTCTGATCCGTGGTTCCCAAACCAACGAGTCACAATAATAACAAAGACTTGGATAAAAATCTGAACAAACAAAGCAGCTACACACACTTTGCTTAAAAAAATTAATGAAATCTGTATTTTAGGTGGTGCAACTGGTAGAGCTGCTGCCTCTCAGCGAGGTTACCCCGGTTCAAATCCCAGTCTGGGGCCTTTCTGTGTGGAGTTAACATGTTCTCTCCGTGCATGCGTGGGTTTTCTCCAGGTACTCTGGTTTCCTCCCACAGACCAAAAACATGCATGTTAGGCTGATTGGTAACTCTAAATTGTCTCTAGGTGTGAGTGAGAGAGTGAATGGTTGTTTATCTCATTTGTCTCTATGTGTCTCTGTGATGGACTGGAGACCTGTCCAGGGTGTCCCCGCCCCTCCCACAGTGATTGCTGGACATGGGCACCAGCGACCCCCGTGACCCAAAAAGGAAGAAGCAGGTAAAAAACGATGGATGGATGATTAATTCATTTTTTATTACTATTTTTGTTTTAAACACTAAAAATACAACAAATGTAAGCAGAGGGGGGAAAACTATTCAAGTTTTATTTTAAATGTTTTATTGTTTGGTGTTTGTTTTATTCAAACTGAAGTTCAACTAAAAACGTGCAGTATTTAAACATGTGACCTTATAAAACCTCATCAAAAGTCAATTTACTGATAAAAGGGGCATCGTTTGAACTGATACAAAACTGATTTCTGTTCCATGAAAGTTTACAAACCTTGTTTAATGTCACTAAAATTAGTTAAATGTACATTTTTCACATTTGAAACAATAAAGTTGTTCATGCAACAACAAAAAAACAAGACGTCTTTTCCAAACTTGGAAACTTTATTTACAGTTCAAGTCAGTGACATGCAACGTTTTCTTAAAATAAGTAAACAGAAAATTAGCAAAACAAAGAAAAAAATGCATATTATTTTATTTTAAAAAGAAAAAAGCATTTACAAAAATAGAGCTTACAAATACTGTACAGCAAATTGTCTCTAAAAATATTCTGCTGCAGAATTTTTAGTTTTACAAACATCGTCTGTGAACGTTCACAAACATAATCAGTGTTTTAAAGAAGAGGGAGGAGGGCGTGTTTGGACAAAAAAAAAATTAAGATTAAAAGAGCTTCAGTGGAATAAATAAGACGCCTTACAAACAAGATGAAGGTTGACCTTATTAACTATCACAGATGTCCTGCTTGCTCAAAACGAGCTGACGAGGAAACCTCCCGACATTTCTCAGAAAGTCGTAGGAAACAGTTTGCTGTGACGGGCCGACGGCCTCGGCCCATCATCTCTTGAGTAATCAGTAAATGTTTCGAGAAGCGTGAGTGTATTTATAGCGGAAGACGTTGCGATGAGCGGCTCGGTTGTTTTAAACCTTGCAGACTCCCTCCTCCTTCAGTGGCTCAGTGAATCAGAACTTTTCATGTTAATTGGGCACTTCCCTCAGAGGGATCAGGACGGCACGACACGGGAGGAAAAAGGAAGCTGGCGTGTACAAAAGTCCACAAACAGACTATTAAAGAAGGCTGAACAGTGTTTGACATCTAAGTGAGTGATGCTGCCTTTAACTACAGTGATGGTGAATCTTTCCTTTCTTGTGTGAGTCGGCTGCTGACAAAGCGTTAAGTCGGGCCTCATGAGCAGAGTGGTTCTGGGGGGACGATGTCCTCAAACTCATGAAAAGTCTCGGTCTACAGAACATCGCACTACAAAAGATCTGATCAGAGCAGCTTCCTGGAGCTGTGGCAGTTTACTGCTAACAAAGATGGCTGACGTCAGAGCAGAGCTGCTTTAAAACGAGTGTTTTTCACTCGTGATCAAACCGGACCTCGTTAAAGAACAGACGGCTGAGGTCTGAGCGCCGCCGCCCTCTGACACGTGTTAAAGTGGCGCCACGTTAAAAAAAAAAAACTTCTTTGTGAGGAAAATGTGCACTGATGATGTCCACAGGTGAAAACACATCGTAACGACACCATCATCATCATCTCATGAGATGTAAAACTTTGAACACGTTTCCCACAAATCAGCGCACGTGGCATGGAGGCTGCACAGTTGTAGAAAGGAAAGCTTTGCAGAGAGTAGTGAAGGCTGCACAGAAGTCTGTTGGAGTCAGTCTCCCCACCATCAGACATTTACACCTCCAGATGCAGGAAGAGGGCCACCTGCATCATGAAGGACCCACTCACCCAGCACACACACTTTTTGCCCCACTCCCCCCAGGAAGGAGGTTGAGGAGCATTAAGTGTAGAACCACTAGACTGAGGAACAGCTTCTACCCTGAAGCTGTTAAGACTCATGAATCTCTAACCAGAATAATCACTGTGATGACACTTTAACTGGTTATGTCACTTTATCTGTGCTGCTGATTATCCATGCTGCTGATCTCTTGCCTTTAAGCTGCTGTATTCATACCCATCTGCTCACTACAGACTCATGTTCAGGCTGCTGTTTAATACACCATATTATTTTACATTATTAGTGTTTAGTGTATATCTTACATCCTTGTAGTGTCTTTTGATGCTTTATATTTTTGATATTTTTGGATGTAACTGGGACCTTGACACAATTTTGTTTTACTTCATGTACCACATGTGATGTAAATGACAATAAAGAACCTTGAATCTATCATTTTTAATATTTTGAGTATAAATCAGTAATTACGACCCTTTTGCAGCTCATAAAAACTAATGAACGTTACCGTGGTGACTTGGATGGGAAACGTGTTTGAACGTGATGAAATGTGTCCAACTCTTTGTCCATCTCTGTGAAACATCTAGAAAGTCTTCATTAAAGACGAGGGTTGAAGGAGCATTAAATCATTTCTGCGTCTTGATGACGTGCTGCTAACAGAACCAAACGTTTGTTCAAAGCGTGGCCCGTCAGATTAGGATTGAACCTTTAGAACACGTTCAGTTCATGTAATGTTAGAACCATGTCCAGAAACGAGTGAGGAGCTTTCTCTGCTGCCCTTCAGAGCAGCAACAAGCGCAGCTAACCAAACAAAACGTGGCGCACGAAACAAAAGCAGCGTGTGGCGAACAGAACGAGGCGAAAGCACCAGAACCGGCTGAACGGAGCCGAGCCGGCCCACAGTCTGCATGAATGGAAACGTTTGGGTCCGACCTGCTGACCACAGAGTTCTGCAGCCTTCTGCTGAACACACACCTACGATTCTGATCCAATAAGCCATCCTCCCAAAGCAGCGGTACCAAGAAGTTCTGATGCATGAAGAGAAACAGTAACAAATAACTGGTCAGTTTAAAAAGAGTTGAATCAGATTTGTTCCTAAAGTCGGTCCGGTCCGTTTGTTCACGTTGGGGTCACATGACCTCCACAGTTCAACCAAAGGTGGTTTTTAATCTGAAGCACATTAATGAGTTCAAAAGCAGCAGCAGAGCATCGCCTTGAAAATGTTAGCTGTTGGAACCGGGCCGGCGTTTGTTCTGGTTCTGGGACAGCATCTGGAGACGACAGCTGTCTACTCCCAGGGAAGTTTAGGTCTGATGTTCGACAAGTCCTGAATTAAAAACAGTCACTGATGACGTCTTCTGTTATTAAAACACGTTCCAGATGTTCTGCATCATCTGTCCACAACCCCGACGTGCACCTCACATGAAGGCTAAAAATCCAAAAGGAACCAGTTCAAAATGGAAACTGCAACTCACAGAAATACAAGATAAAAGATCAAAATGAGCTTGAGACCAAGCCAAGAGCTGATTCTTACAAAGTGCTCGTTTGAAGAGAAAATAATTTAGTGTTGATGTTCTCGGCTCCTGGGGTTCCTTCCTCCGGGTCTTTTTACCGGAGTCCTCCAGAGAAGCGCTTTGGTTGTAGAAAACGGACCAAACTTGTGGATCAGCTCGTCTTCATTGTTCATTAAAACACCTGAAGCAGCCGTCAGGTGGACGCTGACGCCGCTCCCCCCCCCCATCACTCAGTTCCTTTAAAGGTGGGAGTGTTGCGTGTCTGTTGCGTGTCTGTTGCGTGAAGCTACACCAGGTTCTCGATGCCAGGCAAGGGCTGCTGAACGGGCTGAGGGGGGTCGGAGCCCCCCGCCTGCTGGGCGAGCTGCAGGACGGGCATGTTGCACAGCGGGCACACTTTCCTCACCTCCAGCCACTTGATGAGACACCTGGACAGAAACAGAACTTCATGAGTTTTAGTTTGGGAATAAATCTGATGGATTAAGTTCAATGATCAAAAAACTGTGATTTCCCCCAAAAAACGTGTCTTTACTAAAAACACATTGAGACGCACACGTGCGTCTGAAAAAATGAGAATATTGTGGAAAAGTTCAATATTTCTTGTCAATAACTTCAGAAAGTGAAACTCATATTTTACGTAATTCATTTTACACAGAGTGAAACATTTCAGACTATTTCTTGTCATTTTGAAGATTTGAACTTACAGAAAATTAAAAATGAACATATTGTGTTGTAAACTCCTGGTGTCTCACCCTGATCAGCTGATAACTCCTGGACATGAGCTACAAATGTCTCTTTCCTCAAGTCCAGCCACTCCTGAACCAGAGACAACATCAGAAGCGTCTTACCTGCCGAGGAGACAAAGAACTGGACTGTGGTCCAATGTCCTCTTTTCACATTAAAGTAAATGTTCATGTCATTTGTAAATCAAGGTCTCGATGTCTGGAGGAAGAGAGGAGAGGTCCAGAATCCACGTTGCTTGAAGTCCAGAGAGAAGTTTCCACAGTCAGTGATGGTCTGTGTCCATGTCCTCTGCTCTGGAATATTCTCATTTACTTTTTCATTATTTGTAAACAATAATCATCAAAAATACAAGAAATAAAGTCTGAAATATTTCACTGCGTATAATGAATCTATGAGTTTCACTTTCTGAAGAGACTGACAAGAAATATTGAACTTTTCTCACGATATTCTCATTTCTTCAGATGCACCTGTACATGTTCATCACTCAGGGCAGCTGGGGGGAAACGAGGTCTCAGATGATGTAAACAAGTGGGTTAAAATAGACGTGGGGGACGGGGGGAGATTAAAGTTGGCTCAAGTAATCCATCACGTTATTTCACATCACAAACACTCAATGAAAAGGAAGAAAATCCATGCAGTTCAGTGTTAGTGTGTATTAAGTATGTGCACGTTTCACCAGTACAGTGAGCCTTACTTCATATTAGTGTGTGTGTATGAAATACGTGCACGTTTGAGCAGTACAGCGGGCCTTACTTCCGATGGAAGGCATGTTTGCAGGGGCAGATCCCCAGCTCGTCTTTCTGTTTGAACTCCTCCAGGCACACGGCACAGATCTGGAAACACAAAGCAGGGCAGTTCTTCAGGCAGGCAGCAGCTCTAAATGTGCTGCTGTGGTTCTGGCTCTTTTCGTGCTCGTCTCAGTTTTGTGTCCGTGGCCTGGAAACAACCCAGTCAATGTCTGCTTCACAAACAGAACCAGCTGTGGTCCAAATCAACAGTCCAGGTCCAAAAAACACCAGCGGAGTAACTGACCGACTGTGTGCAGTTATGCAACTCCTCTGGCGGCCATCGCTTGTTATTTAACAGAAACAAACTTTTATTTTGATCAGTTTTTGTTGTTAGAATGTATCACTCTCCACTCCCAGACCTAAACTGAGGAGGTGGAACACAAATAAATCCACTTTTTAAACATTTCATGCACGACTTTCTGAACCGGGTCAGTTTTCCCTGACTTGTTCTGTTATGACGTTCATAAAGTCCTGATGAGCAGGTCGAAGGCAGGAGTTACACCCCACCCCCACCCCAGCAGCTACGACAGGAAGCACCGTTCTTCTACAGGCTGGATGAGATCACAAGTTCTGACGAGGACTTGTTCATTTGATTTTGGCTGCAACAATCCTGTCTTCAGCCACAGATTTATGGGCGACAGCATGGGGCTCTTCGCCTTCTCTCCTGGGGGATTTTGAACACAGCAGCTCTTTGTGAGGCCGTCTACTGTGCCCTCTTTATTTTGGGAATAGATCAATGTTCCTTTTTAACGTCTTGTCCGTGGTGTCGTACGCACAACTGAAACCTGACACCTTGGAGAGCCGACTAAAACATTTTGTCCTCCCTGTTCCTCCAAGCTTCACTGAAATGTCCCCAAAAACTGGAGAACCAGACAAGATGGAGCTGAACACAGAAACAGAACCCAAAGAGATTATGACCTTCTGAAAACTGGATTAAATCAGGATCTACTCCTTTTCAAAGACAAATCAATAAGAGGTATACAAAACTTTCCAAAGCTGAAGAAAATAAATGTTTTCACACTAAACTTTTCTTTCTGCTCTCTGGAATTAAATACAAACCGGATTCTAAAAAAGTTGGGACACTAAACAAATTGTGAATAAAAACTGAATGCAATGATGTGGAGGTGCCAACATCTAATATTTTATTCAGAATAGAACACAAATCACAGATCAAAAGTTTAAACTGAGAGAATGTATCATTTTAAGGGAAAAATCTGTTGTTTCCAAATTTCATGGTGTCAACAAATCCCAAAAAAGTTGGGACAAGTCCATTTTTACCACTGTGTGGCATCCCCCCTTCTTCTTACAACACTCAACAGACGTCTGGGGACAGAGGAGACCAGTTTCTCAAGTTTAGAAATAGGAATGCTCTCCCATTCATGTCTAATACAGGCCTCTAACTGTTCAATCGTCTTGGGCATTCTTTGTCGCACCTTCCTCTTTATGATGCACCAAATGTTCTCTATAGGTGAAAGATCTGGACTGCAGTCTGGCCATTTCAGTACCCGGATCCTTCTCCTACGTAGCCATGATGTTGTGATTGCTGCAGAATGTGGTCTGGCATTATCGTGTTGAAAAATGCAGGGTCTTCCCTGAAAGAGGTGACGTCTAGATGGGAGCATATGTTGTTCTAGAACCTGAACATAGTTCTCTGCATTAATGGTGCCTTTCCAGACATGCAAGCTGCCCATGCCACAAGCGCTCATGCAACCCCATACCATCAGTGATGCAGGGTTCTGAACGGAGCGTTGATAACAACTTGGGCTATCCTTGTCCTCTCTGGTCCAGATGACATGGCGTCCCAGTGTTCCATAAAGAACTTCAAATCGTGACTCATCTGACCACAGAACAGTCTTCCATTTTGCCACACTCCATTTTAAATGACCCGTGGTCCGGTGCAAACGTCTGAGCTTGTGGAGCTTGTTTAGAAATGGCTTCCTCTTTGCACTGTAGAGTTTCAGCTGGCAACGGCGGATGGCACGGTGGATTGTGTTCACTGACAATGCTTTCTGGAAGTATTCCTGAGCCCATTCTGTTATTTCCTTGACAGTGGCATTCCTGTTTGAGATGCAGTGACGTTTAAGGGCCCGGAGATCACGAGCATCCAGTAGAGTTTTATGGCCTTGACCCTTACGCACAGCGATAGTTCCAGATTCTCAGAATCTTTTGATGATGTTATGCACGGTTGATGATGATAACTTAAAAGTCTTTGCTATTTTACGCTGGGTAACACCATTCTGGTATTACTGCACTATCTTTCTGCGCAACAATGGTGGAATTGGTGATCCTCTTACCATCTTGGCTTCTGAGAGACACTGACACTCTGAGAAGCTCTTTTTATACCCAATCATGTTGTCAATTGACCTAATTAGTGTTAATTGGTCTTCCAGCTGTTTGTTATGTGCTCAGTTTCCTTTTTCCAGCCACTTATTACTACTTGTCCCAACTTTTTTGGGATTTGTTGACACTGAAATTTTGAATCAACATATTTTTCCTTTAAAATGTTCCATAACATACAGTTACTAATAAACGTTCTATTAGAGAAGCCTTATACACTTATGCATGCTCACAACCACACACAAATAGAAGCAGGGATGCTTATGTAGGCTTTATATGTAGATATATAGATATGTATGTGAGTGTATATTCATGTGTATGTATGTATGTATGTATATAGGCGTAGGTATGGGTATATATATTTATGGAAACTTACTGCAAAGCCATGAATATTTTAAGTTCTTTATACATATGTATTTTGTTGCTGTGTTTTGTCATGTTCTTTGCAGGTGAACAGACAGTGGCCGGGTGTTTTGACGTGTGCTCTATTTGTATATATTTCTTATATTTTGGAGTCTTACTTTGTCTTTTCTTTCTTTCTATCCTATTAAAAAAAAAAAAAAAAAGTTACATCCTACACTAGATAGTCACTATAATAAATATTTCATAATAATGGTGTGGAGAGGATGGCTGTAAGGGGAGAAGGGAGGCCATCAAAAAAAAAAAAAAAAAAAAAGTTACATTGACTCAGATTAAACTTTTGATCTGTCATCTATGTTATATTACGAATAAAATATTGACATTTGCCATCTCCACATCATTGCATTCAGTTTTTATTCACAATTTGTGTAGTGTCCCAACTTTTTTGGAATCCGGTTTGTAATACAAATTATTAATTATAACAACAGCACATAAAATATTTACATTTAGCTATGAAACTATAAAATACAGCTGGTTTGATGTCATCAACTTAAACTTTTTTTAACAACCTCATTTAGGACTTAGAAGGAGAGGTTATGAGTTCCTAAACGAAAACTGAATTATCTTAAAACTCACAAAGTTCTGATTACTTTAGGATCAATCTTTCAGATCAGAGTTGATCTGAGTTCATTCTAAACGAGAACCAAAAGTTCCCCTGGTGAAACCAACACAACATGTACAAACACCCAGTGGCCATGTTATCAGGTCACCTGGTTAGCAGAGACTCCGACCTCCTTCAGAGCTTCAGTGTTCACGTCATGAGACATTTAGGTCCATATGGACACGAGAACATCATGTTGCTGCTGATTTATCAGTGGTACATCCATGATGGTCTCCGGTCCATGTCCCAAAGGTCTGACAGAGATCAGGGGACCATCAAGGCTGGCCACGTTACAAAATTCTGCAGAACCCGAGCTCTGAACACACAACAGGTGGAAGCCCAGAGATGGTTGTGTGCAAACATCTCAGCAGTTTGTGAAACACTCAGACCAGCCACTCCAAAGATGATTACATCTTATTTCTGCCTCATTCTGATTCTGTTTGAACTTCAGCAGATCATCTTCACCTCGTCTACGTTACTAAAGGCACAGAGTTGCTGCCATGTGATTGGCTGATTAATGAGTAACTGAGCAGGTGCGCCTCATTAAGGGATGTTAGCGTGTGCACTGAGGTCAATTTAGGGACGCTTCCTGCAGGTCAAACTTTGATCCAAATGTTTTTGCACTTTAAAATAAATACAACAAGACGTTAGAATACATTTCTCACAAATACATTACTTTATTCTACAATAAATGAAGATACGTTTTGAATAATTATGTTTTCCATAATGTATGGATCTCAGGAATAACTTAGAAGAACGCCGCTAATCTGCATCGTTCCATGTATGACAAGCACGTCACTCTTGTGTCGAGCACACCTCGTTCTACTTTAACAAGGTTCTGATTGATCACCTGAACCAAACGTTACTTAAGGAGGAAAAGAATAAAAACCACTGGTGTGGTCTTCAGGCAGGAAAAAAAAATTGTCTGATAGGAATTTTTTTCGACTCCAACTCCTACATGTGTCCAGTTAACCACTGTTTTGTCTGTCCAAACAGGTCTCACTTGTAAATGAGTCTTTGAGGCTCAATGTGATTTATCTGTTTAAATAAAAGTTGAATGAATATAAGCCCCTACTTTCTGTGTTACCTGTTGTTCTGTCTGTACAGCACTTTGGTTGGCCTTGTCGCTGTTTTAAGTGCTTTATAAATAAAGTGGTATGGTATGGTATGGTAGGAGTTTGAGGTGAAAAAATTCCTATCAGACTTTTTTTTTCCTGCCTGAGAAGAAAAAACTTTGATATTTAAAAAACAACTTGCACAAACATGCACATAGTGACGTAGACATTCTGCAGAGGGGGAAGGCGAGAGCGGTGAGCATGTTCCTAGATGCTCTCGAGGTCACTGTAAGAGTTCTGATAAGGATGTAATAATCAGCCAGTGTCCTCCGGTGAGATCCATAAACATTCTCGAGGAATGTCGAGGAATGGCCAAGAATAACGTCTATGAGAATCCAAGAGTCCTGAAATGATGACAAGTTTATTCAGCTGGTTTCATTTGGTTATTAATTGGAAAATCCTCAGGGAGGGGGTGGTGAGTGTCAGATCACATGTTCTCCAGGCGAATTCAGATAAGGTGGCCTTCAAGGCCAGCCAAGGGAGCCAAATTCAGATAAACACTGTTGTTTTGGGGACAGGCAGAATTTAATGACGTCTACCTTCAGTCTGTGTTGGTCCACTCAGTTCCGAAATGTCCAAATTACATGGCCACACCGATGGAACGTGACTGAGTAAAATCCCCAAGAACTGATCTATTCAGCCCAAAGCATTTGAGTCTGGGTGCTTGAGACACGAACCAAGCCATCATAAAGGCAAGCAGCGTGATCGGGTCCAAATTTGCTGCAGACGACTTCCTTGATCGATTGATAAAACCAGCAACCAGCCGAATCCAAAAAGCAGAAACCAGTTATCGTAAATCCAATAAAACATGCGTCCTTAAAATCCACAGATGGCAGCAGAGATAGACACATCATCAAGTCTTCAAGTCGATGAGATATCCAGCTGCGTGTGTGCCAACAGGGTAAATCGGCTCGCCCAAAGCCTGTCTTCTCTTCGAAGAAATGTTGTAAATTGAGTTGAGGGACCAACTGATCAAAAAAAGTCCATAATTATGGTTCGGAAGAAATGCAAGAGAGTCTCACAGCAGTTTCACAGATAGACAGAGCAGCAAAGCGGAGAGGGATGGGAGAAGTGTCCGATTTTGGCAAGAGCAAGTGGTGAAAGACACACAAATATGTATGTTAAATGTTTTTTCTGAACAATGCCGGTAAAACTTAACACTTTTTTTAACCTTGATTTATATAGATAATCTCAATGAGTCACGAAGACCCACTCCCCAAGAAAAATGTGTTTTAGGCAGCTATGTGAGCGCCCAGGTGTGACAAGGCTAATGGCTAATTTACAGCATTAAGCTTGTTAGCTCGTCAAAAAAACAAACAAACATAAATTAGCCACAGCATTGTATAAGCTACAGGTTTCAAAGCGTGTGAAATAAGTAGGGGCTTATAGTCCGGAAATTATGGTAATTCAATGTTTCCCCTAGATACCTTGCCATGGCGGGGCGCTCATCTTGTGATTTTGTCGAGGGGGGCGTGGAGACACCTCCTGAGCTGTGCAGCGCTCTGCTTATACCGACAGTTTTAGAACAGGGGGGAGAGACAGAGACACATCTGAACCACGTGCTGTCTGTACTGACAATTTTCGGGGGCGGGTTCAGCACGAGGGAAGAGGCTGCTTTTAGCATTTTAGCTAGTGCACTTGTATTGCGAGCTGCTAGCTTAGTGTTACATCAGTGCTGATGCGTGTGTGTGTGGGTGGGTGGCAGTTCGGTAGACAGGGCGCTTGGTTCTGTTGACAGGGCGGGGCGCATTGCTTGTATAATGGTAGGGGAAACACATTATTGAGCATGCCTAAAGGGTTTGGGGGGGTCCAGTTTTGTCTCTACTGTCAGAGATCCAGTGGGTGTCAGGTCTTCATGGGGTGTTCAGGTGTGGATGAAGGACCATTGGATCGAGACACAGTCATGGCTGGTCCAAGTTCCACACCTGAACCCTGTTAAAAACCTCTGGAGGAAGATGGAGGCTCACCATCACCAAACAGAGCTGAGCTAAATGAATGTTTGTGTCCTGGGAGGCAACACCCCCCCCCCCCCCCCCCCAAACACACACACACACACACAACAGTGACGTGAAAGCTTGAAGGAGGGCGTGCTAAGACGCACGAAAGCTGACATACAAACACAAAACAAAAAAAAACCAGTCTTACTGCCCCAAATATATGTTACTGAGTTCTTCCTAGGGCGAAACATTAGTACTGTGATGACTAATAAATAGAACCTAGGTTCCACTCAAATATAATCTATGTTTCTTTGAATTTATTGGCACGTGTAAACACTGTACCTTTCCTGTTACTCTGACCGTTTGTCATATTCTGTAAATAAATCCTCTACATGACAAGGTACAGGAAGAAAACAAAAATGTTTGTTTTACTCCAACAGATAAATAGTAAGATAGGAGAAATCTGAAGAAGAAACTGCTTCATTTGAGCTGTAGATCAGTTAACGCTCGGGTTCGTCTTCCAGGAGAGATGAAGTGAAATATGTGAGCAAACAGAACAGACAGAGCTGATTATCGTTGTCTGTACCTCATCTGTGTTTGTTTCAAACAGGTCTCTCTTGTAAATGAGTCCTCTGGGCTCAGTGAGAACAACCTGTAGAAATAAAGGTTGAATGAATGAGCTCTTCCTCTGTACTCAAACAAACGTGACCAAACGCCGGCCTCCAGGATGAAAGTGGGTCATCCAACCACGACGGAGCACCTTATTTTTCACACATCGTTCACATTCCTGCAGACCTCACTCACATGAGGCCGCTTGTTGCTTTCTCTCAGTTCCAAACAAAATAAACACGAAAGGCCTGAACGCTCATGAGACGGTGGGGAGCGCCAGCAGTGCTCAAACCGTGCACGTTCAAAGTCCTGAAGGTCCTCCAGGGCTGCCGTGGACCAGAATTATTAAAGCCAGTGAGCTACGGACAGGATGGTAGTTTCCATGACAACGAGTCACGTTACTGAAGGATGTTGGCTGATGAAACTCGATTCTGGATTATCTTAGGGCCCAGCGCATCACGGGCGTGCACGTGACGACACATCTGAGTAAACAAAGTGGCTGAGCCATTGCTGAAGAGATCAGATAAGGTCTTAACTTTTTGGAATCAAAAACAACGGCACGTTTTTATCTCCAAACGTCAAAGAGATGAAAACTTACCTCATGCAAGTTTAACTCTTTGACTTTTTCCTTCTGAATGACCTGAAAGATGCAAAACAACAAAAGAGAAATGAGACGGACGCTTAACGTAACAAAATAAACACGTCGAAATAAAATATCTACAAAATAAAGGACTAGACTATTCAGTGAGTATGCGTGCGTTTTTGTTTCAGGACCTTATAGGGACAAATTTTACAAAAAATCATGCATTGTGGGAAACAACTGCTCTTTATGGGGACCAAAGCCAGGTCCCCATAAAGAGCAGTCTCGTTGGGGGTTAGGTTTAGGACTAAGGTGTGAATTGCAGATGGGTTAGTGTTAGGGTTAGGAGTAGGCATGTACTAGTAATGGTTGGGTTTAGGGTAAGGGTCAGGGTTATCTTATAGAAATGAATGGAAGTCAATGCCAAGTCCCCAGAAAGTACGTTTACAAGAAAGAGCGTGCGTGTGCGTTCTTACTTGTTTGTATGCATACAGCTCTTTGTGCGCCTGGTGTCGTAACCTGGAGAGACGTAAAGACAACGTCTTTCTGATTAGCAGGCCGTTTTGTTCGACTGACTTTTAAATAAATACAAAATAATACTAATATACAACATAATAACAGATTTACAGATAAAACATGTAGATATAACAGATCTATGCATCCTGTAAAAGTTGCTAAATAAAAAGGGATACAATAGCATATTAAAATGATTCAAAAGCTACTTTTGTAATCACAAAGCATTTGACAACAAATCGTCACACGTCTATTTTTACATTTCTATTTCTACTTTACACTTGAAACATTTTACAGGTATAAAAAAACCAAAGTGACGTTCTGATAAAAAAATATATCTGGGAGGTGCATCACATATGATTCTGTGTCAAGTACAAAGCTCCCAAACACTGACGATCAACCAAACAACACTAAACTTACACTTGTTCAATATTTACTTTGCATATGGATAAGTCTGGTTACACAGTAACAGATAAACCTTCTTATTCCCTAAAATGTTTAAACTGACATAAAACATCACCTGGAATAGACCTGGTCAGACATTTTTAATACACAGGAACTTGCTGGGGCCCTTTATGCACAATTACACAACTCCAAGTCAGAAAAGTAGTGACAGAAACAAGTGGAGCTGAAGTAACAAACATCTGGAAGAAGAACACGACGAACACGGAGCGAGAGGAAACTCCTGGTACTGACAGGGAGAGGCAAATACGCAGGAACAGGGAGGGTGGAGCAAAAAGCAGGAGAGATAGAAAAAAATGCATAAGTTTGTAAGATTTACCTCCATTACTAGTAATGTTAACCTCTCGCAGCAGTGTGAGAGGGATCTGTAAAACAAGCAACACAGTCTGGGAGACAAACGCACATTTTGAACGAGGTCAGCAGGTAAAGGTGCAGACACTCCCACAGGTAGGGGCGCCGGGGCACGGCCAGGTGATGGGTGGGGCTTTAAATAAGTCAACAAATACAAAGAACCCTTACTAAAGGCTAAATATTAGAGTGCTCCTTTGACTTGTTTACAGAAAAGACCATATTTTACACACAAGTGCCAGGTCAGGAGAAGGCCTGAGGGGCGGTTGAGTGTTTCTGTGAGAGTCCGCCTTGTGTCAGAGTAAGTGTGTAAATGTGTTTGTGCTGGAATGTCACGTAAAAGCCCGAACGCTGGCCTTCTCACTGCTCCGTCAGTAAAGCAGGAGCGACGGCGCTTCGCTGCACAAAGCCCAGGATCTCCCCTTCGTGGCTCCTGAGTCTGAGCTGGGATTGATCATGAGGGCAGAGTTTAACTGGCTGACTAAGATTCACATGTCGTATCACCCAGCCCTTAGCTGTAATTATATTTTCTCATGTGAGACCACTCTCCTGTGTTTATAAAAAAAAATCAGTAAAATTACACTTAAAACATATTTATTATGCATTATGATGTAAATACTCTCTGAAATATTGAACTAGCCATTTTGGAGGCTGCATCTTCAGAAGACTTTAAGGAGCACAAACGGCTCCTCTTGTCTGTCGTTACTAAACTCCCAATCTTTGATTTTAAGTACTCAATCAAGGACTGCATCAAAGCCACAAAGTGATTCTTCTTTACAGGAAGTTGAGGAATTGAAAAAGTGTTTACTTTGCTTACCATGTGCTCTGCAAGAGAGGATAAGGCAGGATGGCGAGGGGGGATATTTAGGGGGAACTGGAGCGTCTTGCTGTCTCAGATAAAACAACACTGTGCATTATTTGAGTTCTGTTCGCCACCGCCGGGGAAAAAACAAACTTTATTAACACAACTGAGGGTAATCTCATTACACCTGGGTTTGAAACAACCTGGTACAACAAGACTAATCAGGAAATATCTTCTTTATGGTGTTGATCAAATTCAATAGACTTCAGTGTGTAAGCTCTCACAAGATGAGCATAAACATAAAGCTGACAGAAGTAAGACCAAAGTGGGACTCCTTTAACATAAAAAGATTAAGATTAACCGGCTATATTAAAAGTATTTTAGCTGGTGTCTGACGTCACGTGCTGTGATCAAAGGAGTTGTGAATTACTGTCGTCTTTCTTCTAAAGTTGGACAACAACAGCACTGATTGTACCTCAGAGAGACATTCTCCAAACTGTGGAAACTTTCTATTTGTGATGTTATTCAGTCTCAACAACAAAACACAGCAGTGTCAGACAGTTCAGTTGGTCTCAAACTAAATGTGTGGTGTTTATATAACCTTAAAGAGGAACTGTTTGTGATTTTCAGGGTGCAGGTGAGTTTTAATGCCGACTCACATTACTGAGTTTCTGCTCTACGAATAAAAACACATCAAGGTTTCCTTTGCAGATGCATCTTACAATTAATGCCTGTTCATGTCTCCTGATAATGTACAAACCAGTAGGGCTGGACAATAATTCGATATCGATATATGTCGCAATATACTTTTATTCAATAACGGTGAGTTTGAAGCACATTTTCGATATTTCGATATGATTACAGCGTTTCACTGACACATTTCTTTTCCTGTTTAGGATGAAGCGGCCACTTCAGTTTCAACCCGAACAGAAAAAGGTGCGACACAACTACGTAAGTGCGTGGTGACGTAGATGTTACGCAGAGCTCGAGTTCAGAAGGCGTTAGCGGTAGCAGGCTAGGCTAGGCTAATCTCCAACGCACGTTAAGTTTTCGCTTCAAAATGAGTTCCCATGACCGTCAGAATGTGACTGAACAAGCTTTCACAAGCGAAGAGAAAGCAGATGACATCACTGATGAGAGAGGAAAGACTAATTCGGCGGTGCGGAAGTGGTTCGGCCTTCTAAGATCTGATGAACTGCAGGTTTCAGTCAGTGTGCTGCAAAATGTGACGGAGAGTCGTTCCAACTAGCGATGGGAACACATCGAACTTGTTCCAGCTGAAGAGTTTCCACTTGATAGAATTTGCTGAGAGTCACAAGATGAAGCACAATAAAGTTTGAGCCAACGTGTCCCTGAAACAACACCCCCAGCTGTATCAAAAGGTTATGTTGTTGTTTAAAACTACTAATATTGACAAACTTGAGAGTTTTATGTTTATTTGACGGTGATTTCAAAATGTTTTGAAGGCTAAATACAAATAAAAGGTGAACATTAATTTATTTGTACAGTTTGTAGTTTTTCTGAGGCTTTTATATAGTTTATATCGATATCAAACTATATCGTTATCGACCGAAATTAAGAAATATATCGTGATAAAAGTTTTGGCCATATCGTCCAGCCCTACAAACCAGTATGTACAAAGCTACAATTATTCTGAAAATAATACAGTAACTTTATACTAGGAATGTACGATGTTGGATTTTTGGCCGATATCCGATATGCCAATATGTTAAAACTTATTTGGCCGATAACCGATACGAATACCGATCATTTTTTCCATAGATCTACTTACAGAGACTACATAGCTTTCTCTGCTGTGGAATTAAAATACTACATTATTCTGCATGGTCTTTGTCAATTTGGCCGGCTACCAAATGCAGATGCCAAAAAGGGGTCTGAAAATTATGTAACACTTAAACTTGGATTATGTTTAATGTCAAATTTATTCATGACATTTACTCTAACACAATGACAACA